ATCATCAGTATCAACTTCGTCGTCGTTTGCCCAGTTATCATCATATGTAATTTTTAATTCTTTAAATAATTCTGTCTGGACTAAATATTTTGCTGCTTTTCAAACTATTGCAGGACGAATACGCTCTTGACGACCGTGTTTGTAGCACATTTTTCGCTTCAAAACAAGTGTTATTATATTAGTATCAGATGCATGCCTTGGTAACACTAAGACCATAGTGTTAACATCGACTGGAACGTTCACTACATTCCCTACCAATCCATCTTGAAAACCGAGACCTTGACCTCGCCTAACTATTTTAAGGAATATATGTCGTGGTGATACAATACGTTCCTCAAGTGGAGTAAGTTGTTGCAGAACATCTAGAATTACAGGATAAGTTATACTATTATACATGGCAAGCCGTGGTATTTTGCCATCTTTTAGATATCTTCGACACGTGTATCGAAATGAACCACAGTCACCACATGTATTCATTAGAAATAAATGATTTAGGTTTTGATCTGAAAATGTTATAGGCAACTGATTTATTCTCATGACGCGAAGCTAATTTTTGTGCCACAAACGACCGCAACAGGAACAGATATTCGTGTGACCATCTGCGATATTATCAAAAAAATTTTGACGTATGACCATCCAATCACGTAGACAAGTATTTTTTCTAAAATTACACGTCTCTTTCTCACGTTCAGCATAATCTGAATTCTGCCTATTTAATCATGTTCAATTGTATTACGAGTTAGCTCTTCATCCCTGTATATTGGATCCTCACGTAACACACGATGAGCAGCAGTGTCACGAGCTCGTTCATCTTCTCTGTATACAGGGTCCTCGCGTAACACACGATGAGCAGCAGTGTCACGAGATCGTTCATCCTCTCTGTATACAGGGTCCTCGCGTAACACACGATGAGCAGCAGTGTCACGAGATCGTTCATCCTCTCTGTATACAGGGTCCTCGCGTAACACACGATGAGCAGCAGTGTCACGAGATCGTTCATCCTCTCTGTATACAGGGTCCTCGCGTAACACACGATGAGCAGCAGTGTCACGAGCTCGTTCATCTTCTCTGTATACAGGGTCCTCGCGTAACACACGATGAGCAGCAGTGTCACGAGCTCGTTCATCTTCTCTGTATACAGGGTCCTCGCGTAACACACGATGAGCAGCAGTGTCACGAGATCGTTCATCCTCTCTGTATACAGGGTCCTCGCGTAACACACGATGAGCAGCAGTGTCACGAGATCGTTCATCCTCTCTGTATACAGGGTCCTCGCGTAACACACGATGAGCAGCAGTGTCACGAGCTCGTTCATCTTCTCTGTATACAGGGTCCTCGCGTAACACACGATGAGCAGCAGTGTCACGAGCTCGTTCATCTTCTCTGTATACAGGGTCCTCGCGTAACACACGATGAGCAGCAGTGTCACGAGCTCGTTCATCTTCTCTGTATACAGTGTCCTCGCGTAACACACGATAAGCAGCAGTGTCACGAGCTCGTTCATCTTCTCTGTATACAGGGTCCTCGCGTAACACACGATGAGCAGCAGTGTCACGAGCTCGTTCATCTTCTCTGTATACAGGGTCCTCGCGTAACACACGATGAGCAGCAGTGTCACGAGCTCGTTCATCTTCTCTGTATACAGGGTCCTCGCGTAACACACGATGAGCAGCAGTGTCACGAGATCGTTCATCCTCTCTGTATACAGGGTCCTCGCGTAACACACGATGAGCAGCAGTGTCACGAGATCGTTCATCCTCTCTGTATACAGGGTCCTCGCGTAACACACGATGAGCAGCAGTGTCACGAGATCGTTCATCCTCTCTGTATACAGGGTCCTCGCGTAACACACGATGAGCAGCAGTGTCACGAGCTCGTTCATCTTCTCTGTATACAGGGTCCTCGCGTAACACACGATGAGCAGCAGTGTCACGAGATCGTTCATCCTCTCTGTATACAGGGTCCTCGCGTAACACACGATAAGCAGCAGTGTCACGAGATCGTTCATCCTCTCTGTATACAGGGTCCTCGCGTAACACACGATGAGCAGCAGTGTCACGAGCTCGTTCATCTTCTCTGTATACAGGGTCCTCGCGTAACACACGATGAGCAGCAGTGTCACGAGCTCGTTCATCTTCTCTGTATACAGTGTCCTCGCGTAACACACGATAAGCAGCAGTGTCACGAGCTCGTTCATCTTCTCTGTATACTGGGTCCTCGCGTAACACACGATGAGCAGCAGTGTCACGAGCTCGTTCATCTTCTCTGTATACAGGGTCCTCGCGTAACACACGATGAGCAGCAGTGTCACGAGATCGTTCATCTTCTCTGTATACAGGGTCCTCGCGTAACACACCATGAGAAGCAGTGTCACGAGCTCGTTCATCTTCTCTGTATACAGGGTCCTCGCGTAACACACGACGAGCAGCAGTGTCACGATCTCGTTCATCTTCTCTGTATACAGGGTCCTCGCGTAACACACGATGAGAAGCAGTGTCACGAGCTCGTTCATCTTCTCTGTATACAGGGTCTCGCGTAACACATGATGAGAAGCAGTGTCACGAGCTCGTTCATTTTCTCTGTATACAGGGTCCTCGCGTAACACACCATGAGCAGCAGTGTCACGAGCACGTATATTGTGTATACTTTGATACTTTGTTGATTCTTGTGACCTTTGTAATCTCTTTGGCAGTCTGTTTCTTATTCTCTCCTTAATTATAACGTCTTCTTTTTTTCTCGATACACGTTTCTTTTCTTTATTATATTTGTTTAGGTCTTCTGATGATTTTCGTTTACGTGGAACAGATTTTTTTTTTTTTGAGAAAGTATATCACCAGACTTAGAAGCTACTAAAGACGCAGCGTGTTTAGGAGTATACATCATGGATATTGGCGTAGGTGACTTAGATGTATAGGTCATGGAGTACCCTGAGGTAGCAGGGATTACGAGTTCATTATTGACCTGAAGATGCTGACCTTGAGATTCCACGAGGTCCGTCGCCGTATGATACGCCACAGATGGCCTATTAATTTTAGGTTCAGTTTGCTTTTATTTCTGTTTAGCTTCAGGTACTTGTTCCGAGCGGGACTTTTCTGACTTTTTTGGACGACCACCTTTATTACGTCTTGAACGACCAACCTTTGAATCTTTTGTTTTATTTACCAAGCTTTCCTGCGTATTATCGTATGTATTATTTAGTAATCCTTCGGACGCGATTGGCGAACAAAAATCATAATGACCCGATGATAAATTACCTGAAAGAAGTAAACGCTTTATTGCATATCCTTCTCTGCCGAACACACCCCTCAGAATACCCGTATTACGTTCATACACATCGAACCTCGCTGGATACAAAAATCCGCCCCGTGCCTATCGTGACTCTCGTCCCATCCCATCCCACTTCGCCAGTAGGAACAAAACAAGCAAGCTGTTTGATAATAAACAACAACAAGAAATATTATAAACGCATTTAGATTATACAGTTACTTTCACCAAAACATCCGGATTGAATGACGATCAGTTCGTCTTTGCCGTTTGAAAAATACTTGATACCTCTACGCGTTCATGAGAAAAAGGGTAATAAGTTGATAATTATCAATTTAAAAAATTATTATGTTATGTAACTAAAAATTTAAGGTTTTCAGAATTTTTCCTTTATGTGTGTTATAAAACGTTGCCTCATGCCAAATTTCAAGATTCTAGGTCGACTGGAAGTATCCTTTAGGTTTTGATTCCCTTGCGAGTAGTTGCGAGTTTCAAAATATGCGGCTTAAATTGCCGTTTCTTTTGATTGCGTTGACATAGAAGTTTTGATTTTGTTACAGCTTAAAGGTATTACAGACCTGAGTATTAGATTTGAATTTTAATATAATACCACTACGCGTTCATGAGAAATGGGGTAAGTTTAAAATTATTAAAAATATTTTTATTATATGATGTAACTAAAACATTTATGCTTTTCGCAATTTTTCCTTTATCTGTGCTACAAAACGTTGCTTCGTACCAAATTTCAAGATTCTGAGTTCACGGGAAGTACCCTGTAGGTTTTGATTCCCTTGCGAAAGTTGAAAATTTGCGGCATAAACGGCTGTATCGTTTGATTGCGTTGGCTCAGAAGTTTTATTTTTTCACAGCTCCAAGGGACATTAGACTTGAGTATTTGATATAAATTTCAGCTTGATACCTCCACGCGTTCCTGAGAAAAAGGGTCTTGACAGACAGACAGACAGACAGACAGACAACAAAGTGATCCTATATATAATATAGGGTACGATATAAGGGTTCTGTTTTTCCTTTTGAGGTACGGAACCCTAATTACCAACAAATTTATATGCCGATGCATTTTTTATAAAAAATATATATTTTGCAAGCCCAAAAAAAATCAGCTTGTTATTAATAAATTTTTTCAAGTCACCATTCTGACATGTTAGAGCTGGGGGTCACTCGAAAGGTACCATTCACTTTGTATGCCACAAGTTTTTCTCAGTTTTTCATCGTATTTTCTCGACGTATTGATTGGATCTCTTATAGTTTATTATATATATATATATATATATATATATATATATATATATATATATATATATATATATATATATATATTCGTTTATGTTTGCTTAACTTATGTTTATTGCTCCCTAACTTGTGTTTATTATTTATATTCGTATTCTATTACAATAACCACAAGAATAAAATAGTATTCTATTTTATTCTTAGAATAGAAAACCATTTATTTAACAAACACAGTTAAAAATAAAAAATAAGCACGTCTCCGGGTGTACCGACACTATCTGAGTGAACAGACTTTATACGATTTTTATTTCTTTTCTTAATATTACTTTTATTAATTTACCTCCATATTTATATATAGTTTTTCATTAACTATAAAGTCTCCCATCAAATCTTTATTTATTTATGAGTAAAACCTCGAGCAGTTTTTCGCGTAATCTGAACTGTAAGTTAGTTCAGATTACGCGGACTAAATGCCGTTTAAATTTCAGAAGCGGAATCCAAAGATGAACAGAGTTCGGAGTCACGATCTTCTCCTCCCATCTCTCAAATACTCCTCGCGCAGCTGAGTGAGTCCACTTCTACATTTTAATTTTTCTATATTGATGTAGTAAAAATATAGTGTATTTTTACTCTAAAAATAGAGAATTTGAATATGATTTATCCGACAATGTGGCAACATTTCATAGACAAACGAGCACACAGTCCATCTGATAGTAAGTGGATGTTGTGGCTCCTAGATTTTCCATCCACCATCTATCCGCAATTAGAAACAAAATGCAGATGCGTTGTCACCCCTTAAGACTGAGATGGAATGCCTCGTTAGCAACATTATATTATTTTAGTTACTAATAACACAGCACCGTTATGCTGCTACTTTATGTCCGTATTCCATGCGACCTATTATTTTTTAATACTTCATGACTGTAACTTATCAAAATAATATTATTGGGCGACTTTTAGGTGGCAAGGAAGAGAAGCCGCTCCTACTCTAAGGTGTGTTGTACTTCACGTATTCTCATAATAATTTTTAATTTTTTAGTCATTCAAGTTTCTTCATAATGTTTTGTCTCGTAATAAATCAGCACTTAATATTGCTATTAACAATGATGTGTGATACCGTTGGGGATAGAGCTAAGAAAATGACGAGTCCTTGAGTTAGCAGCAGTCGCGGCCATAAAACGTGTGAACGGCAACGATAATATTGCGCTCTCGTTTGCACTTGGTCTCATAGAAGATATTTCCAGTGATGTGCCGCATTACTATCGATTATATTTTATATATGTTCAAATTGTTCTAAAGAAAAAAAAATAGAAAAAAAGTACGTAACTAAAATAAGTAAAATCATTTGAAATCAAATAATAAAAATCTTTATTCCAAACCGCAATCATAGTCAGTATAGCTATGGTCTATCACGTTAATTATGAACCTAAGTGCCTTGGTAATAAACTGGAAATTCATTCTTAGACCACGATGTTGGCCTTGTGCGTAGTCGACCTCAAGCGGCTCAAACAATTGCGTACTGCACGTGCACAACCCAAGAGCTTAATCGTTTTATGGTCACGAACGTTGGCTTGGTTTTTTTTATATAGAATAACGAGCACACCGTTTACGTGATGGTAAGTGGGTGCTGTGACCCATCTACATTTATCCTCGATTAAGAATCAAAATCCCGCTGCATTGTCAACTCTTAGAATCAAAATGTAATGCCTCACCATACGAAACACAGTAACATTAAGCTGCTATTTTACGATGGTAATCGGTGTGAGCATGGTGTCTCCCCGATGGAGCAGATCCATCTGTGCTACAATTATAAAATAGCTGCAGCGTTTACTATAATTACCTTGTAGCGGCGTTTTAAGAACATCCACTACTAATAGTAATATCTCGTGGGTGTCGTGAGAGGCGACCGAGGGAATCCAATCAGGAGTTGGGCAGCAGCGTCTTCCAAATAACGACTAAAATGAAATGTACTGTTGCCAACCCCTTGCCAAGTGAGGCATCTATGGCAACTATTCCCCATATGAGGCAATCTATGGCGAATGTGTTTAGCCTTGAACTTTAAAAGGTTGCACCTTACTATAGTATAGTGTATGTGTTATGTGCAGCGACATCTGGCGCTGTGTCGGGTGTGACGACCTGGAACGCGCAATCAGTGCCGCGCACTTTCCACTGACGTTCCGTGCCACACCGTGCTGCACAACTCCGTGCCGCATAACTTCGTTTCGCACAGTTCCGTGCCGCACACTTCTGTGCTGTACAGTTCCGTGCCTCACAACTCCGTGCCGCACAGTTACGTGCCGTACAGTTCCGTGCCGATACGTACAGCTCCATACCTCCAGCTACGTCAAACAACAAACTACAGTGTAATTAATGTGTTAGTAGTATTCTTAAATAAATTCTTCCAGAAGCTTGAAGTCTGTCGGTTCAAACAGAACTATCTGGATCTATCCCACTAGAAGTTGACCAATTACAAATGACCCTTTAGTTCTACATCTACATTGGTCGAAATAAAGATTCAGTATACACTAAACGGGCTCTGCGTTTATGCATTGCACTCTGAGTAATGGTCAATTCTCCGTAACACCATTAGTAGCGTGCGAGCGGGCGAGAAGACTAGTTCTTTGTTTTGTGAACCGGGAACATTGTTTTCTAAGGCGCTATTTACATTGTGGCGGAATGGAATGGAAGCGAATTATTGTAACGAAATTGTAAAAAAGTCAAAAAAGAAGTCGCGCGACTTCATATCTAGTTTGCACGTTACACAATTGACATAACATTCATTTTACTATGTATTATATATAATTCGCATCCATTCCATTCCGCCGCAACGTAAATTGAGTCTAAAATCTAACACTGATTATGTGACTAAAAGAAAATGCTGTCTATGTTTATGTGCGCACTTTGTCAACGTGCCTTTAAGTTTATTTCAGATTAGTATGTAATTGTATTTCGTATTTGCCATAAAACAGTAACTGTCATAAATGGAAATACAACTGGTAATATAATTTATCTATTTTATTACCCGTGCGATCCTCAGCTGCGACACAGTTTTATTTTGAATTGTCAGTCTAGTAGAACATATAGAAGTCTTTGCTTTCGCTTATTAAATTAAAAAAAAATAACATCAAGATTTGCTATATTAACAGTACGTATTGCGTTTAATTTATTAGCTGTTTATTATCTAATACATACTAATCTGTCTGAATGTCTCTTTAGTCAAGTAGTATTCGCGACTGTGTTCACGTGGTTCTGGTTTGGAATCTCGAGTCTGACCAGAATTTAGCTATTGGGCTTTTCTGTCACGAAATTTTCAGTAACAGCCTGGAGTTAGAAGCTTGCGGTGTTTAACCTCCACGTAAAGCCGTTGGTTCTGTGCCTGATCACTCTATGAGCTATATACGAGTGAAGGAATATCGAGCACACCTGTGCCTGCTACCCTCGGCCACCATAATGTTTGTCCCGGGTAGATGACGCCGTGACTGAAATTTGATCTATTATTCCATCATCCTAATATTTATTATTATGATTATTTTCTTCCTCGATTGATCGTGTTAGACGTACACGATAGAAAATAAACTATAGGTACGGCCTCTTGCTACTTTATATATTTTTTGATATAAAATACACGTTATCATTATTGTCGTTATCATCATTATCAGCCTGCGGCAGACCACAGCTGGACATAGGCCTTTCCCAAGACGTTACAATGATACCTTATCCATTTTCTGCGTCCTTAATTAGTCCTTAAACAGACATAATATAGGATTTCGACTAAAATTATATGAAGCTAAAGAGAGTCTGGTGAAACGACTTTGAAACTTTTGTAACAAGATTGGACAGCGTACGGTTTTTTCTGTTGTTAGTTACGAATTATGTATAGAGAAATGCAATATTATGTATATAATTACGTTCATAGGTTAGTTTATATGTTACTATAAAATACTATATTGAGAACAATATTTTTATACAGTACTGTACTATAGTTAAGATAAATATTCTATTATAGAGACATTATTGAAAATGTAAATGCTACGTTGTTTTAAGCTGTATTGTACATTGTAACTATTATATGAGTAATTCATAAAACTGGTGATTTTATTTCAAGGACATATATATTAGATTTTAAAATCGATGAAAATTCATTAATAAGAAATATAATCAATACAGCCCTTCATAAGCCCACTGCTGAACATAGGCCTCGCGCAAGGAATGCTACAGAGCAAAGCACCGTCCTGAGTCACCTGCACGACTTCCTGCAGCTCTTCAGGTCGTCACACCTTCTAGTGGTGGGGCGCCCTACACTTCGCCTCCCGGTACGAAGCTGCCACTCGAGAATTTAGAAGAGAAGAGAAGAAATACAATTTATGGTAATAATAATTGACGTCGGCTTCGTGTTTTGGCCGTAGAAGTGTCGCATCCATAAAACTGCACAAATCAAAAGCCTTCTCTTTGAGTGAGTTTGGCACAACCCCCTTATTTGTTTACGCCGCCAAGCAACAGTGCACCCTCTGGTTTTAAAGGGTAGGTAAAGGGGTTAGTATAACTGCGGTTGTGATATTTTCTCTTAAGCTCTGGTGTAAAGGGTACGGCCTAGTCTTAAATTGTTAAATTGTGGAATTTTAGTTAAACTAGTGACTGTCTGTGAATTTATTTTTACAAAATAAATGTGACTACTGGGTACACAGTCCACCTGATGGTAAGTGGATGCTGTGACCTACAGACATCTATATCTATCCTAGATTAAGAATCAAAATGCAGATGCGTGGTCACCCCCGAGGACTAAGATGGGATACCTCGTTTCTAGTATAAAGTGTGTCCGGTTCTCTACACTTACTATAAGAAACAGCAGAATTAAGCTGCCATTTTACGCTGGTATTCTGTGAGAGCGTGGTCCTTCCGCGGTCGAAGCGACTCAATCGTGCTACAAACATAATATATTTACAGCTAGGCTCTACCACGTACCTAACGAATATGATTAATGAAAACAATAAAAGAAAGTACTGCTGACGATATAAATTTTAAGCTATTTAATCTGCTAAGGCGCTTTGAGAAAGCTGTCGTCAACATCACTCGGAAACTTTATAGTGGCTTTTAAAAATTGTCTATTATTTAATTCTCTACTTTCAACTATAACATAGCAAACACACTTGCCCAGAACGGGGATGAGTAAGTGCTGCAGTGGTGGCTGTAGATACTGTACTGTCTCTATGATATATAAACTGGCACCCAGGAGATTTGGTAAATGTTCCGTTTTTCAACCGAGTTCAAAAAAAAGGAAGAGGTTCTCAATTCGACTATTTTTTTACAATAACACCAAGCACTAAAAATTACGTTAGTCCTTTGAGCTCTAGTCAAAAGGACGTATTAGGTGACTTTAATTTAATATTAGGCGGTTCATTGATGTTGGTAATTTTGGCACGCGATACTAAATCTCTAGGAGTAGATAAACATAATTCTACGTCACGTATCGCTCGGTCAAGGAAAGGGCGACCGGTGCATCTCGGACTTAACAACATCGGTAGTCTCCATGCGTCAAGGAAACCGACTGCTTATTTGTTTATACTCTATCAATATAAAACGTAAGCAATTGTTGATTTTAAGAGAACTATTACTACTAAAAACTATAAGGAGCTAATAACAGTGCCACATAATATAGTAGGTAAGACGTTTTCGCTCGGTTACATTAATTTACTTCAATAAAAAAAAACTGTTTATTCACTATACCTAGTTACATAGCACTTAATTTAAAAAGTACACATTAGGTTAGAGATTAATAGGAGTCTTTTTTTCAGATGGGAACTGACCTATTGTCTAACTTTAATTACGAAATAAACAAAAACTGTCATTGTTTATGCCACGCCTGTTGATAAGGGACGTTATCAAAGAATGTACTACTCTCTAACGAGAGGACGTCATTATTACAGAATGTTTTACGATTGAGACTTACCGCGATACTATGTGCAGTATTATCTTATAATTTTTATTTAATAATGGAAGACACAAAAGGTCATGAGGTGGTCATCCGCGAAGCTAAGAAAGAGGATATGTTGGAGGTGGATAAAATGGTACAGGTAAATATATAGGTACTTATATACAATTTTCAATTATTCGAAAGTAAATATTATAAGTTATTTAAAATAATTTTTAATTATACGCTGTGCCATATTATTGCCGTGTAGTGCGGCGCTTTGATTTGTTTAATGTATGTATAAAGATCAAAGGTGCGGCCTAAGAGAATCCACTGTCCCATGTAATATCATCCCGTGGGTGTGGGTAAAACTACACCAGGAGATAGGCAGGAGCATCTTCCTTTTAAGAGCTCAAAGTTACCAACCCGCCTGCCAAACATGGTAACTACGGTAAATCTACGAGTCTTGTTCAACAATGGACGTGTTATTCAATTTCATATAAAAATTAGAACTGTCAATAAGTGTTGTCAATTATCGTTCATTCGCATTGGTTTTGCCTTTGAGTATACATAAAGAAGCTTGCTCATCTATACTAAAGGGTATTGCAGTCTCGATTAGACATAGGTCCTTAAACCTAACAATTGAACACTAGCTTTTTTATACGTGGTAGAGCCAAGCTGCAGCTATATTAGTAGTATGTTTGTGACTGCCTTGTTGGTCTAGTGGTTGTAGTAGTGCGACTGCTAATCATGAGGTCCCGGATTCGAATCTCGGGTCGGGCCAAAAAATCAGTTATTGAGTTTTCCCATCAAGAAACTCTCAGTAGCTGCCCGGAGTCAGGGTAGTAAGCGGTGTCTCACCCCCGTGCCTCGGAAAGCACGTAAAGCCGTTGCTCCTGCGCCTGATCTCTCTCCGGTCGTGTCGGTCTACCGTTCCATCGGACTTTGAGAGTGAGGGAATAGAGAGTGCACCTGTGCTTGCGCATACACTTGGGCACTATAATCCTGTCCTGCGCCGATGGCTGGTCTCCGTTGAGGCTGGCCGCCATGACCGGAATTCTGACTGGAGGACATTATTACTAGTATAGTTGTAGCACGAATGGGTCGGCTCGACCGGAGAAGGACCACGCTCTCACATAATACCAGCGTAAAATAGCAGCTTAACACTGCTGTGTTTCGTAGGGTGAGTGTAGAGAACCGGTGATCTTTTTTACTGGAAAAGCGACATTCCATCTTAGTTCTCACGGGTGACAACGCATCTACAT